TTTTTGGCCAACTCAATCTGCCTCCCTTCCGAACTGTTTTGGGACAGCTGATTTCAAGTGTTTTTCCGGTGACCCACTAGAGAAGCTTCTACCCACTTAAGCTGCAGAAATACTAATATTTTCTTGGGGCTTTCTTTGGCCAATAAATCATGTGGCACATTGGTTCTGTTCTTTTCTTTTTCTCAGACGCCAGTCCCCCGTCCCAGTCCTCAGACCTCAGTTCCGATTCTTTGGTATACGCAATTTAAATAAAAAATTAGCGCATATTTTGCGTTTTCCTTTTCAAGTGTCCAAATACAACACAAAGTCTGTTGTCGGCGGAATATATATATATATATATATGTATATATTCCGTAAGTATAGCCAACCCCATGTGATGTGTAGATTCATTCAATTTATTACTTGGCATATTTTTTGCTGGTGCTTTGTTTTTGCTGTTTGCCTCAAATAAATAATACTTGGAGCAGTGCAAGCGGGTCGATTAATATAAATCAACGCCTGACGGTGTCGTCGGATGGAAGTTCAGAGGGGTCGGTGGATGGGGGCTGGTCACCGAACAGGGCTGGGTGGAAATGGGTGCCACTCCCGCCGGCTTTTCCTTTGTGGCTTTAATGAAAGTAATTTATTAAGTAATTTCTAAGCTTTTAGTCGTGACGCTTGCCGTTGAGAGTTTAATTAATTGGTTTTCATATTAAACGAATAGCTCGAGCACAATGAATTATGTATGAGAAGGTAAGTAGCAATCGATATTGAGATTGCGATTGGATATTGCACAACATCGGTTGGCCAGAGAGACAGAGAGCAGAAACGCAATGGCCCTGTCCCACATGAACCAAAACCGGAAACTGTAATCTGCCGAGAAATGGATCTGACGGATTAATAAACATTCCGCCATAATTAATTCCGAGAATTATTTCAGCCTTAATTTAAAATGCAGATGAGCGTAGTGGGGAACCTCCCATGAGGCAGACTTACTCACAGATAATTCACTCAATGGATTAAAAGCGAGATCTGTCTAGAGGTTTACGTATCTCTTATAAGATACTGCGTTTATAATTTATTTGTTTGTTTTCCACATGGTATTTAGGGTAAGACTAACTATGTGATTTATTGAAATATAATTCAGGGTGGAATTTTTTAATTATTAAACTCTTTAATCTAGGCTTTCAAAATTCATAAAGAAACATTGTTTTAGGAATTAACTGGCTGCCTAAGCTGCTGGCAGTTCCCAAAGTGTTTGGGACCAAGTCGCCGTGGAAGTTGCGACAAAGTTGCCGGAGTCTTTGGCTGCCAAGTGGCCAAAATGGGGAAGGGGGTGTGGGCAGATACTCGTACACTTTCTGGCTGAAACTGCAATTGGGAGCCATCCGTTCGGCAGCGGATGTGCAGTACAAAACGTGCTCTTCCAATGGCCAAGACCAGACGACGACCGGGCGGACAATGAAAACCAAAGCTACGAAACTTTGTTCGTAGAAGAGCGCACAGGCACAAAAAACTGCAACCGAAAATAAATAAAAATGTCTTAAAGAAAACTGTCAAGATTTGCATTTATCGTCGCCGGCGTCGTGGGCTAAGAAAATGCGCATGCGATAAAACTGGCTGCTATTGCTATTGCTGATGTCTGGTTTGTGGTATCTGGTAGCTGGTATCTGGTATCTGGTGTATGGTATCTGGTGTCTTTCGGATACGGGTATCTGTACTTGGCCATAGATAGTGAGCCAGCATTGCGCTTAGTTGGCATTTGCTTAATTTGCATATCGCATTGGAGCGCAGTTGCTTGCTAAAATATTTGAGAATTTGCACTTTAATTGCACTTAAATCACCATCAGCCCGGACAACGTTAATTGACTCTGCAGATAGCGAAACATTCGCTGACATGGACGCAGACTGATTGGGTCTGGGTCGGGATCTGGATCTGGGTTTGGGTATGGGGCCGGCTCTGTGGTCTCCTGTGCTCATTATGCATTTGTTTCCTATTAATTTAATTAGTCTCCATTCTGCGGTTGTGCAATCCGCTGCGTATTTGTAGTCGCATTGTTGCATTCATGGAATTAAATAAAACAAATAAAGAGTCCCCCCAGTTCAATAGCAATGCGATTAAATAGAAATGTTATATTTCAATCGCAGACACTCCCACCTTAATTGTGTTATTGCTTTCAGTCGGCTTTGTCTGGTCAATTCCATATGCTAAATAAATTTAAAATTACCTACCATTCCCTTGATTTCAGCTTGATGCGGTCATGATAAATATAAATGCTGTATACATGTTCCATCAACAAAATAACTTAATACCGAGTGACTTTTATCGGAGAATATTCACATAACCGGAAATTGATGATTGCGTTGGGAAAAGCCAACTAATTGACAGAAGTCGTTTTCGTTTTGGGGAAAATGAATAGAATTTAGCATTCTGCCATGATTGTGTGCGGCGATTGATAGCTTCTCAAACAAAATGAAATTATAGAGAAAGCCGCCCTGAAATGCCATTCGAATTGCCGCTCCATTCAATCGCAAACGTACACTTCTGGAAAATTCAAATGTATAGAAAATGCACAGCCCATCTCCCACCGCTCAGCGCCCATCCTGCTCTTCCGCCCCTTGACCCCTCTGAAATTTATTCGGTTTACAATTCAATTTAAATGTAATTTCCCTTTTTGCTAAATTGCAAATGCCAACACATGCAAACAGAGCCGGAGGGAGAGCGGCAGCGGCAGGCTCAGTCATTCAACTGTCGCATTCCTAAACGCAGTGCCACGCCCCCTCACGCACACTCACTCGGGCCGGGAGGCTGCAAAACACATGTAAATGATAGTGAACGTCATAATATTTCATTTGGCACACGGTGGAAAATCGTTTTACACTTTTGGCATAAATTGACGAAATAAATCATGTTTGCGACACGTGATTGGCGACCCGGGAACAGTGCCGGCGGCATGGGAGGGTATCGCCATGGCCACGGGCCGTAATGCCAGAGGAGAGGCGGAAAAGTGAAAAATAGGAATTTTCACCCACCAAAGGTGACTCGGAAAATGTACGTGGGTGTGCTTTTTGTTCGGTGCGCCCTTCACGAATTATTGCGGATTTTGAGTTACGTGGTTGTGGAAAATATGTTGTTGAAAATATTAAAAAAACGACCTAGGCACTCAGCGCTTAGGTATAAGCTTAAAAATATATAACTTGAGTAATGGAATAGATAAGTTTTAAAGTACTTTAAAAGACTGTTTATAACATTATTTTTGCGAAGAAACACTATTAATTAAACTCATATATGCACAGAGAATGTACATTAAAATGTTTAATTTCCATATGATTTGTTTGTACACCATGGCGTATGAGTAATTTTTCGTTGCTCATACCAGATTGGCATTTTTCAGTGATTTTACAACTTAAAAGCCAAAGTGCAACGTTGTTGTTGCGCAAAGAAAGCAACAACAGTATGTAATATTTATTTTATAATTTAATTACGGCGGAATGCTTTGACATTTTTGACTTCTCGTCGTTCACCGGCTGTTCACGGCTGTTGGCAGGTTTGGTTGCTCGTTTGAGTATTTTGGTATTTGACGAAAAAGGCCAAGCCAGGCCGACGTTGACTGATTGAATTGTGGTGTATTCGATTGTGATTGTAATTTGGCGATTGCCTTTTTTAATTTGCCATCACAAAAATCGGTAAATTGCATTTCGATTGTGATACGGGTTTGATGAATTGTCAGAAACGACTGTCTCGAATCAAAACAAAATGTGTTGCGTGGCGTTACGTTACGATGTGCTGTTCTGTGCGGCAAAGGGGGTCAATTACTTTGAGCGAATTGATTGAATTTCTAATGACTCAAAGGGGTATTAAATGCGCATTAAGCATAGTCACATCGCCAGCCGCCTGCCCAAGGGGCACACTCACTTATCGATGTTCAACTAACCACATTAGCCTAATGATTTCGCCGAGTTTCCCCAGTTCCAGTTCCATACCTATGTAGTCCCAGTCCCAGTCACAAGTCCATTCATATTCCCAGTCCCAATTCGAGTCCAAGTCAAAGTCCCCACCATCATCATCATTGTCAGCACTTAAATGCAGGCTTCATTTGCTTAATTGCATGGCAAATGTTGCCGTGATTAATGTGACAGGGATTGGGAATGGAACTTGGCCGGCTCCGGGGACTCGTGGTGGTTGTTGCTCGTTTGCCTACGCATACTCCAAGCACGCCAAAGAGTTTTGAAAAGCAGCCGCCGCTAAAAAAGAGGCAAAAACCAAAGACAAGCAATCAGCGTAAACCTGTTCTTTATCAAATGCTGTTGGCTTTTGCGTAAAGTTTGGCTGGGAAACCCGGCGCATTCGAAAGAGTTACTCTCGCTTTTGAACAAAAAAGTGGCTCATGTTTAATGAAATTGCATAAAATAGTTTGCGAGTGCCGACATGTGTATTAGCTTTTAAGCACAAGAAGACCCACAGCTACTCATGCCACATTCATGCACATTGCGGCCGCCTGGCATATTTGCAGCTTGCCACAGTTTGCACGAGATTAGCGGAAGCGAGAACGTTCAACAGGGCAATGTGGGGCAAGGTTCCTCTCCGGCGGCGGTGATGACCCACTTGGGATGCGATTGCCGAATGACAAACCATCAGCCAGCACTGCGTCATACACACACAAGCCACCCAAATTCACAGAGCCGCTCACTGTCCTCGCCGGGGGCTCATATCAGGCCGTTACGTATACGCCACCTTGCCCCCGCCGGCTCGATGCTGACTCTGACGCCGACGACTCGGCGATTGTCGTCGCTTGAATAGCAAAATGGCTATTTATAGACGCGTTAAGTGAGCAAATTACTTCCGACAAAACGCACATTTGAACTTTGCAAATGTACGGTTATAAATAATCGACTGTTCGACTGGCAATTAGCAATTCGCGTTTAGCAACTGCATTTCGCGCACTAGGCCCTCAGAAACTTGCAATTGGAATTTATGAAAAACTGCATTCGTTATATAAGCTTGTGGCATTTATCATTACCCGATGATTTCGGCCCGCGCAATCCTTAGCAATAATTTGTACGAGAGTAGTCGCGACGGAGCGCGAGGTGAATGGGTCCGGCCAGAAATAAAAACTAATTGCAGTGATTGCGATTCTGCCGGATTGCGGATTTCAATGTCAATGGCAGCCAAAAACGCTCAGAGAGCCAGTGGCCAAAAGCCAGTACACAGTACAGAGTGCCCACTGGCTAGCAGCTAAGAGCCAGCTAGCATAATCATCATTAGCAAGAGACGACTTGGCAGTGCATCTGTATCTTTATATCTCTCGGTGAATGCATCTCTGCGGTTGCCGATCAATAATTTGCCTGGCCGTAATTGTGTTCTGGCCTCTCCGCCTCGCCACCGCTCTTTTTCGTGTCTTTTTTTGTGCAATTTTCATTCATTGCATTTGGCAAGCAACTGCCAATAAGTTGGCTTCCACCATGGCTGAAGGCACGGCTTATGGCAGCGGCTTCTATACAGCATTTAATTGCACGTTTTGGCCAGCACAACAGCCGTGACAGAAGCAACAGCAACAGCAACGGCATCAGCCGCAATGACAATGCCAGACACAAAATAACCAAAGGCAAGTTTTTGTGGTTTCTGCCAGGTCGCTTTTTAGCTTTTCAGCTCGCCGGCTTTGTCTCCAGCTCTCCTCCACTGGTACACTCTTTTGGCCAAGTCGGGGCCATAGAAAATGTCTATATTATACAAAATATTCGACTGCCATTAAAGCGCTGCCTCAACAATATGGGCGAAAATGCTGGCAGCGAGAGGAGAATGGCCCGTAATGAGTTTGTGGTTAGACTGAATCTGCCGCAGAGTATGATGTATAAGCACTCACATTAATATTTGTTCTCGTGCAATTTCAGGCGTACAATGTTGCTTGCTTTCCTTGCGGTGAGTACTTTACATTACCGGACGTACATAATCATCATTTATATTTTTACTCGCACAGCCAGTTGGGTTTACCAACCTTTGTGTTCAAAGCCAGCTGCGAGCATATTTGCATTTATAGTTGAGTTAACCCAAATTGTATATCTCTTGCTAATTAATAACATGTTTAGAAATGACCCAAAAATAGGTTATCAATAGCTCTAACACAAAGTTCATCCTATCGGATCTATATTTTAAATTAAAGTATCTGCATGTTTGAGGGAAATCCACATTCGTAAGCTCATTTTTTTCCTTGTCTCTGCAGATACATTTACTATTTTTCCCCAAATCCATTCGACCTTCCGCCTTAATGTATCTTGCCCTTGTTGGCTGCAACTTATGTGCTTTCCCCCTGCCCCATGGCTCATTTCTCCACGCCAAATGTGGCAATGTGACGCGGACCTCGGTGTGACCTCTGCGCGGTTGGTGTCTGCCAGCAAACACATTTCAGCATGCTAATTAGATCGGGGGGAGTGGGGCAAGTGGGGCGAAATGGGGAAGTGTGTGACTACCCGCAATGCTTTTTGCGTTCATTTCCCATGCGTTGTTCATTATAATAATTTCTGCTGCCTTTGTCTGGTTTCTGTTTTCGGCCAGGTTTAATTAATGATTTGCTAAGCTGCTAGAACAGCGTTTCGCTTTGTCCAGTCCAGGGGTTAATTGGGTGTCGGGACGTAGAGAGACACCCGCCCACCCGCAGCTACCGACTCATCCCATGCGGTATCCGTTGTGGCAACAATGCCCTGCCCTTGCAATTCGAGCATGTGGCAGTGCTGGCAACACGTGGCAGCCACAAATCCGAAATCTGGAAACGAGGCGCCCCCAATCAGCTTGATATTGTTGCTGCATTCAGGGCGCTTTTGTTGTGGCGAATGCTCTTTTCCGCTTTTCCGCTGCCACGTTTTGTTGCACAAAAGGCCAAGTTACACTCGTGCCCAAGGAGAGCAGCCACATACGTAAGTGGGCGTGTGTACATGTATTATAATCGTCGACCTATGGCATTCAACATTGTAAAATATATAATTTGAAGAGACTACCGCATCATTGTAACCACAAAAACATTATTCCCATTAAAATTTAATTCAGGCTCTGCCTAATTATTTCGGATAATGATGAGTCGTTTCAGAATTTTATATACGATTTGCAAACGTGTTGTATTCAGGGATTTTTAGAGTGGCTCTATCTAAAATTATAATAGATCCCCCATGAAAAAAAAAATGATAATACCCCTTTTAAAACCTGGAAAAGAAAAGGACATAATCGGATGCTAAAAATGTGCCTATGATATTCAAGTGTCCAAGTGGAGAGTATATGTTGCCCCATAGCTCCACTTTATGTTGTACATAAATCCCCCCACTTAATATTTTTGTCCGGCTCTCTCCGCACCATTTCAGCTCGCAGTGGCAGTCGCATGTGCATTTGCATGTGACCGATTGAGGTTTATGAATATAAATTGTTTGTTAATTAAATCCAACAACAATGGCCCGATGGAACAACAACATTGCAGACAACTGTGGGACGGTTGGATGGTTTGTTGGGTTGGCTGGCTGGCTCGTTGGTTGGCTCGTTGATGGTTTGGCTAGGCTTTAATACCGGAAATTGATTAAAAGCTCATTTCATTTGCCTGCTGTACGCTTATGTTGCAGTTGCAATTGCAACTGTTGTTGCGGGCCCCTCCTCGCTGTCATAATTCGCCGTTTGAAATGATTATGGTGCCTTACACACAATAAGTAATTGCGATTGCTGATGTTGCTATTGTTGTTGCAGAGGAAATATCCATGCACAACATGCAGAGTTGTAGCAATTGCTGGTTGTTGTTGCAACTGCAATTGTAGTTGCCCAGGCTCGTTAATGCCCAGACTGGCGCTACACTCGTACGTACATTTCATTATTAAAGCCGACCACCCCGGCTCAGTCCCTTTCGCTTTGAAATTTCCCAAGATTTCGGAACGATTGTAAGGCGATTTGGAGGCTATTTTCATTGCCTGGCCGCTGGCCAATTAAAGTATCACACAATACGCCGAAAACGATCGCCTTTGAAATTCGCTTAAGCCCGATTAACACAATTGAGTGGAGTGGCGCTGGCACAGGTTTCCTAATTGCAGGATTATGCTCGAGGAAAGATGGAAAATACTTTCATATCGCTCGTTTCTCGCATCGCTGGACTTGTGTATTCTGCTCGAGTTGCTTCCAAAAGTTATCTCATTTGTTTTTATCGGAAAGTTGTTGAGGAAATGCCGAAAACAACAACCCCGAACCAAAACACGCACATTTATGGCAACTGGGAATTATTTATTTTCCAAAACATTTGCCCAGAATATGGCCATGTAATGTCCAACTTGAACTTTAATGGGTTTTTCCTCCAACCTCCCCGAAAAGGCTGTTACATTTTTTCTCTCTTTCTGATAGCCACCACTCCTCTCCCTCGTGCTCCTTCTGGTTTTACTTCTTTTGTCATAATTTTACTGCCAATTTCAGCAACTGGGAAAGTTGGCCGACTCTCGCACTTACACGTATTTACGTTGCGATTTTTATTTCCTGTAATTTTTACGATATTACTTATTTTTATGCAGCTCACAGCATATCGGGCGGGGAATGGTGTAATGTTGGAAAAGGGGGGATCCGGGGGATGTGTTATATATGGCGGGGAAGTTGGGCCGAGCAGCGTTTAGCTTTCATTTTGAATTTTATGCCATTTTTATTGCTTGTTGTGCGCCATGTTGCTGTCGTCGTCGTCTTTGTTGCTGTTGCTGTTGCTGCTGCTGATGTTGCTGTTGCTGTTTTCAGCCGCTTTTACTGTTGTTGATGTTGCTGATGGCAGCCGCATTATTGGTTTTTGAAACCCGAGCAGGGCCCTCGACAGAAATTAAAATAAAATGCGAAGAGGGGAGTGGCCCACCCGAAGCTACATATCTACCCGACCACGGGAGGATGGAAAGAACAAAGGAGCCATTCAGACACGGCACAGCAACTCGTTTCGTTTCCAAATTCCCCGCAGCAACATTAGTCAATTGGCATTCGAGACTGGTTAATATTGTAAATATAATATTTTCGCCGCACGGTGAGCTTGCCATGGCTGCCATTGTTGCTCACCATTACGTATTGTTTTTACAGTTGCCCGGCTTATTTATTTCTAGCATTTGTTATTATTTAATTTAAATATTTATGCAGCGTGTCTGGCGTGACTATGGCGCATTATAATTACCGCAACAACAGGCCCGCTTATCGGCCCGTATACTTGATATTTAGCTACGGTCTCGTTTTCGAGGTTTCGCTGTAATGCTGGACTGTAATGCTGAATGCCCCACCGAACTATATGGGCAATGGGTAATGGCTACGTGCTGCTATGGCTCCGACCTCGTTAAGGGGGCTGTGCTCCGCCCATCCGCCTATCCGCCGATCCAGCGATCGAACATGCACTCTCTATAGCTCCATACCTATATAGTTATATACCCTCAATAGTCAATACTTATTGCCGTGTGGGCAGACGTTGTAGCAGGCAGCTTACTTACATATGCCACAATGCAATTCGCCTCGTCTGCGGTGTCTCAATTCAATTGGCCAATTATTGGCCATTTTATCCCGCAATGCAACGCGCAGCCTTTCCTGGACATCCCAGGTGCACTCCAACAGTTGCGCCCAAAATCAATGTAAATTTCAACAACATTTTGTAACTGGCCTGAGTGGTCTTTTATGGAGAATATTTATTTAATTATTTGATGGGTTTTACACCATGAATCCCCTTTATGACTGGTTTAAGAACCATAATTATTACCATTGTTCTTAATGGTTTTCCTAGAGACACTTTTCCTATAAAAGTTACGAGCCTCTTTGAATCGCTTTTAACATAGTTTCCCTGTTTATAAATAATTGTATTTTATGGGCCTAGCTGCCTGCTTCGAAGCTAAAACCCTCAGCCCCTGGAGGGGAAATTAACGTGAATGCAATTAAATACACATTGAAACCTTTGTAAACCTGATAATCATCTCGATGTCTGCCACACTACATGCGTTGTTTGTTAATGTCTGCGCCATTATTTGATTTATATTTTCCATATAAACACTCCACTGCTTCTGCCTCTGCCTCTGCCTTTGCCGGTGCTGCTTTTGTTGCCTTGCTGCCACTTATTGATGTTTGTCCA